GAATAATAATTCATAAAACGTAACAACTAATTGGCTAGGTAATAAACAGAAAAAATGAAAAAGAAGCAAACTTCAAAGATAAATATCTTTGTGGCAATATGCGTGTGCATTATAATATACTGGTAGTATGCAACGGTGATAGAACGAAGAAATCAACGACGGCGGGACTCCCTATAGCCACGTTTCGCGTTAAACGCGATCCTTTGCTTTCATGTTGTTTCAGTGTCTTCCTTTTAGAACGCGTCCAACGTTGAGTTAACACGTTAGCTGCTGCGTAAATTGATTGTACATGTGTCTCTTGCGAACGGTACAAGGCGCATAAGCGAGGGTAGTTAGTCGTGTGTGAATAAGTGTATTGCTTCCGCCAACTCTTACACCAACCAACGAATCTCCAATTACTATCGTACAAAATTTATCGGACTATATAAAATCAAAGAATTTGACTTTCGAATTCAAACTAAATATTACTTAAACACTTTTTTCTAGCACTTAACGAATAATTCAATGTTCCGTTAAATGTACGTGTGCTTATCAATATAAAATTATCCAACATTTAAATCTGTATACGCATGAGTAATGCGATTGATTAGTGAATTAACAAACGACTGAATTATTCATCTTTCATGTTTGAACATCTTTGTGTTTATTTTGAATATAAGTTTTCATTAAGTTTTAACGGCAATTGTATAAATGCGTAAGTTATGTATAATTATTTGTACCTTACATTTGTAATGTACTGTTTTTACCAAGTTGTCCCAGTGTTGAACTGTCTGTTGACAATAGAAAAATGATTGTAGGGTAAAAAAGAAAAAGAGAAAAATCCGTTAATTAGGATCTTTTAAGATTTCGCGTTTGTAAGTAATCGTTTGAATATCGCGTGAAAGTTGATTGCTAAAATGCTGATATTCGAAATCCCTGCAAGATTATCGGATGATCATATTATTGATTCGATGTTGGAAAGATCGCGGCTGATTGCAACTTTGCTTCCAATAAAATGAATGTTTACATTGAAATACGCCTAATAGTTATTTTTTAGTATTTGTCTTTAGTCTCAGTTCGTATATTAACATTAGTTTCTTTAAATTTAATTTGCTTATTGTTGAAGTGAAAAATTTGTTTTTCTCATTGTTCAAACATTGTTGGGATTTCCTGATAGCCACCTGTAATTGTGAACAATTAAAAGGATATCTCTTGACAGTTTCAATGGTCAATTAACGTTTCAAGCATAGTATATACGTTAATATTAATAAGTTGTTAGTTATCTCTAGTTGATAAGTTAGATTATCTAAAATATAGTACTTCTCTATTTTCTCAATGTGTCCGGTTAATGTCTATTATATTTTTTTCTGCATGTTTGACAGGTATATATATATATAAAGTTTGAAAAGTATAATATTAAATACTCTATTGTATTAGTAGTAGTGGTAAAGGTAATTATCTTTTTAACGGTTCGTTAGTAAATTTTTATATAGATTAAATTTACATTTAAATTCCATTGATAGTTATATCGATAGTGGACTTATGAAACGAGATATATCCTGTATTTGGAAATATTGGTAAATCATAATTATGGAATCGAATACTTCATGCAAATGTGATATGTATATATGAAATAAAATAAATACATTTAACATGAAATATTGTTATCATGTCCTTATACATATTTTAAGCCGAGTTCCTGAAACGATGGACAGTGGCGCGTACATGTACTTCTTACATGTATATACTGTGGGATGAATACAGAAAGAGAAGTTGACGACGAAATTAAGAGAAACGTTTGATTTTTAGTAACCTTATCCTTGGAGAGTTTCGATATTTTCAAGATGCATCTCGCAAACAATTATGGCGTCCAGTGTAAAAGTTTTACAGTCAGATAACCTATAAAAGAAACATGGGGAAATTGAACGTGACAATTTTACGTTATTTAACCCGAGATGATTTTCGTGTTTTGACAGCGGCAAGTATATGTATTTTATCAATGATATGTATAATTTAATTAATGTCGTATTGCACTGTATGTATTACTTTTTATCCGATGTTTGTTCGATACAATTTGAGGTTATACTCGAACATTAGAGATTTTACCTTTGAACTTACGATATGTAGAAAGAAAGGAAAAATTGATCCTTTGAATGTATTATTGAAATATGTATTATCGAAATTTTTGTCGAAACATATGTATATTAGATATAGCTTGATTTTTATACATGCATTATATATTTATATTCGATATATATTGTACGGAAAATGTACCGAATCCTGTAGCAAAACAGATCTGACATGCTCATTATGGACTCGTTTATGGACTGTTGCTTTCAGTTAAAAAAGTGATATAACATTATGTGATGATTGTTTAATCGACAGATTGAAATGGGAATGAAGAATCATGAACTTGTTCCCGCGTCACTTGCTGCTCAGATAGCAAACTTGCGATACGGTGGTGTTCATAAATTAATGAAGGAATTGTGCAAGCATAGACTCCTGAGTTACGAACGTGGGAAACATTGTTAGTTGATGTTAAGAAAGGACTATTTGAATGAATAAATAAAGGACGTAAAGGCAAGGATTGTAACATATTTATGGTATTTTTTGTAGACGATGGTTACCGTTTGACAAATGCTGGCTATGATTATTTAGCGCTGAAAGTTTTAGCCCAAAGAGGTACCGTTGCATCTTTTGGCAATCAAATTGGCGTGGGAAAAGAATCTAATATTTACATAGTTGCCGACGAAGAAGGAAATCCAGTGTGTTTAAAACTACACAGATTAGGTAGAACTTGTTTCAGAAATATCAAAAGTAAAAGAGATTATCACGAACATAGAAAATCGGCGTCATGGTTATATCTATCGAGAATATCGGCGACAAGAGAATTTGCGTACATGAAAGCACTTTTCGATCGAGGATTTCCAGTACCGAAACCAATCGATCTCAACAGACATTGCGTTGTTATGGAGCTGGTTGAAGGTGGACCTCTGTAGGTGAAATTACTATTTCTTATATTAGGCGCGATCTGGATGAAGGATGAAGGATGAAATGTATACGTGGTTGTAGGTGCGGCGTGTACGAAGTGGACGACGTTGAATCTTTGTACGACGAATTAATGAATTTGATCGTAAAACTTGGAAACCATGGAGTAATTCATGGTGATTTCAACGAATTTAATATCATGATAACAAACAGCAGGAAAGCAGTTCTTATTGATTTTCCACAGATGATCTCGACAGAACACGCGGAGGGTAAAAATTATTTCGAGAGAGACGTGAATTGTGTTCGTGATTTTTTCAAAAGACGGTTCGCTTACGAAAGCGAGTTGTACCCAACGTTTGAAGATATTTCGTAAGTGATGCGAAGCATGTAAAAGGGAAACTATGATTTAGTAAAAATTTGACCAGTGGGTAGAAGTTTCTTGTTTCTGATGTATTTATGTTTAGGAGGGAGGACTGCATCGACGTAGAAATTAAGGCGAGCGGTGTTACGAAAGAGATGGAGAAAGATCTTTTAAGAGAAGTGGGAATGATGGAAGCAGAAGAGGAGGAGGGAATTGAAGAAGAATGCAAGGAGGAGAATAGGCAGGAAGGGAAGAAAAGTATGGACAAGGATGAAATAAATGATTTGCAAGTTCAAGTGGAGAACTCTGTGATGAACGAATTTTTATGTAGAGTGAAAGAAGAATCGGTACCGGTTGCGACACCTTTAGAAGACAATCATATTATAGAAGAAGGTGTTAAAAATATCGATGTAAATAAGTCGATGGAATGGTTAAAAAATGGAAAATTTGACGATTTAAATGTAAAAGACAAGGTGGAAGAGTGTACCGATTCGTTTTCTGCTGTGGAAAGGTTTGATTCAGAGGAAGAACATTTACGAACAGAATTGACCGATTCAAGAAGCATGTACAGTATCAGTACAGCTTCTACGATTGCACCTGAAGTAATTAAGAAAAGGGTGAAAGCATCTCTGCAAAGACGCGAAAAAAGAGACGAACAATCGAGAAGGGTTGTTGCGAAAGGTGAGGCAAATGCGGTAACTAGAGTGAGAAGAGAAAACAGGGATACGATTAAGCAATCGACAGGAATATGGGGTTGGGAATAAGATGCGTACATCTTTGTTATTTAAGGTGTAGATAATTTCCAAGGAAAAAATATAAAAAGAAGAGCGAACAACAAATACATGGAAATATTTAATAAAATTTTCTTTGTTCTTAAATGAAAATATTTTCTTTACCAGCGTAATTGTATGCATCGCAAGTATTACGTATTCGCAAGGAGTACGATTTAGCGTAACGTAAAGAGAGTAGGAGTGAACGAAAACGGACAAGATTGAACTGTTTTTTGCTCTAGTACAAGTTGGTGCACGTGTTGTTAACAGCAGTTCTTAATCTTTCAACAATAACATTTTCTTCCTTATACAACCCCTTCCATTCTTCCTCACCCATTCCTCTTGATCGCGCGCCGCGATCTTTCTACTTTTACAAATAACGTTTCATTCTTGATACGTAACCTGTAAGTACCTAATAGAACGAACTCGGAAGAGAGAGGTAGCGTAAATACTACTAAACTAATTTTCGACAAGAAAAATATGTTTTTGTCGAAATTTCTGTTAACACACTTGGAATACAGATAAAGTTTAATTGATATACCGTTATATTTCTTATTACGTTGATTTTATTTATCCGAAAGAATACAGGGTTATAGGGTATCGATACATGTCCTTAGTAATTCTTTTCGCTCTCCCCATATTAGGACACTCGGGGCGGCGTATCCGATATTGCGGAATTATACGTGTAAATTTCCGAAAGAAAATGTAACAGTATTATGAAATTAGCATTATGCAGATAAGATAACGTTTTGCTTGTTTGAAATTAGATGTGAAGGTCGAAAGTTGCATACAAACATATACGTAGATAATCGTTGGATTTTGTTCACATTCAGAACGGAGGAATTCATGTTTAAAAACAGTCAGCTTCGGCGATACGAGAAATATAATAATTCGACTGTTCTAAACATACTTACGCGCTATGTATAAAATGTAAAAAGATTCTGTAAACGAATTCTTCTATTTTTCTATTGAAAATTCTATCAGCATTTGACTGGATCAAGATTAGCTTAAAGCGTATTATGGAAATATTGGCGCGGACGTTTAATCGCTGTTGATAAAGCGTTACACACGAATACATAATGTATCGATTACAAGAAACATTGAGAGATGATAGTAAAGGTTAAGACACAACGAAGTACCTATCTCCGTGGAAAATTATCCAGACGAGAAATTGTTCACCTTATCTCGTCGGAATGATTTAGTTTTCATACGTGTATTATTTCACAACGGATCAACGACCCTGAACTCTGAATCGAATCCACGAACACATCGAAACGAAGGGGTAGGGGAAGAGAGAGAGAGAGAGAGAGAAAATGGAGAAGTTCTTATATATAGATCGCGCGCGCGCTCTTCTTTCCTAGTTGCAGTTTATCGTTCCACCACCGTTCTTCCGCCAACTTCCGTTAAATTCCGTGAAATTTCGCGAAATATCTCATACGGGTTTCGTACGCTCTGGTATCACTCGATTGCAATGGACACCAACATTTCGCCTTCCTTCCAGAATGAATCCAATCTCACCGCTATTCTCTACGGTATCAACGATATTAGACTGGTTAGTATCGATAATTTACCTTCCGGAAATCTCCCTTTATGCTCGTTCTACTTATCACTTCTCGATAGCGAGCACTTGGCGTGATCTTGAAATACAACGACAACGGTGAGAATAAGAGGCGTGGAAAGTGACAAGAGAGTGATAGATGTTCACTCGAAAATTTTTCCAAGTTGTTCTATTCTGTGTTAGGGTAGGGTAGCGCGTGGTTACTATTTCCATGGAAATAGCAACGTTAGAAAAGAAAAGAAGGTGAACATGCTTATATTTATCACTGTGTTGTTTGTAAGATCTTCTAGAAAGAAAGGCCCGTATCCACGGAGATAGGTTGGAAGATCTTTCGCGGATACTTGTAACGCTATATGTATGTATATTAGTACTTCTACTTGTAGTAAAAATTCATGTTACAGAATAGCTGATATAAAACTTCAACTAATAATAACTAATAATAAAATAAAAGAGTAGGAATATAACGATAAATGAGATGAAGAGTTTTACAGAATACCGGATACGGGGGTTTCATGAGTCGGAACAATAGTACTACATCATTCGATGTTTTCGACTACATGCATTTATGTATCTTGCGTATCTCTCAGAGATATCGCGATCGCTTAATATCTGCTTTCGTTGGTTCCTAAAGCGAGTGGGTAGTTTGTAAAATAGGAAATAATTCGCCTCCTGAAATTTCAGAAAGAAACTCCGATCGAGGAACCGGACCAGAATGGTAAGCTGGAATTTCTTAATTTTATTGTTACACCAAATGGAAAGCACATTTTCCAACCTTTTACACCGTTTCTTTTCTATCTCAGAGGTACTTATGGAGATGGGTTGCGTTGGAATCTGTGGTTCCGACGTGCATTACTTGGTAAACGGAAGAATAGGTGACTTTGTGGTGCGTGAACCGATGATCATAGGTCACGAGTCCTCGGGCGTGGTCGTGAAGCTTGGGAAGAACGTGAAAAATTTGAAGGTAAATTATCGATAGATCGATAGATCGATAGATCGATAGATCGAAGGGCAATCAAGGACGAATGCTTGAAATTTGTAGGTGGGCGATCGAGTGGCGATCGAGCCCGGGGTATCCTGTAGAGTGTGTAAATTTTGCAAAGAAGGACGTTACAATTTGTGCAAGGAAATTGTGTTTTGCGCTACTCCTCCGGTACACGGTAATTTGAGACGTTTCTACAAACACGCCGCTGACTTTTGTTTCAAGTGAGTGAACGTTAAGTTGGTAATTGCAATTTTCCGTCTCGATCTAATAGTTGATTGAATATGCGCATACGTATGCACCGACGGCTGCACGCAATTTATCAATTACAGCGAGCGGCGCTCGTAACTGTGAAAATTGTCGGTTTACATTGCAGATTACCGGATTATGTGACACTGGCTGAAGGAGCACTGCTCGAACCGCTATCCGTTGGCGTGCACGCGTGCAAACGTGCAAACATTAGCATTGGCTCGAAGGTTTTGATCTTAGGAGCCGGCCCGATCGGCCTGCTATCGTTATTGGTAGCGAAAACTATGGGTGCCAGTCAAATCGTTATTACCGGTACGTTTCTCTTTCTCCCTGCACAGTAATAGTAAACGTAAATACTAAACGTTGGATCTTCTTTCGTAGATTTGTTACAAAGCAGATTGAATCTTGCGAAGAAACTCGGCGCCGATGAAACGTTGTTGCTGAGAAAAGAGGACCCGGAGCCGGCAGTTGTGCAAAGAATTCACAAGCTTTTCGGAGACGAGCCCGACAAAACGATCGATGCGTGTGGCGCACAGTCTACGATTCGTCTGGCGATTTACGTAAGTCCTTCTCTGCCATTTATGCCAGATCACCGACAATCCACTCACCGATAATTGCCGATTTTTAGGCAACTAAAGCTGGCGGAGTAGCAGTTTTAGTAGGAATGGGTCCACCCGAGGTGAAAATTCCATTGATCACCGCTCTCGTAAAGGAAGTGGACATTAGAGGAGTGTTCCGATACGCAAACGAGTACGTATTATTATCTGTGCTTTAAAGAAAAATTGTGAGTTGAAAATTAAAGGTGGGTTACTTAAGGCTTTAATTTACGACTTCGATGCTTTTTACTCATTTACCGTTTTCTCCCAGTTACGCTGACGCGTTAGATCTTCTGGCGACTCGAAAGATAGACGTGAAACCATTGATAACTCATAATTACAAGATGGAAGATACCGTTCAAGCCTTCGAAACTGCCAAATCGGGGCAAAGTGACGTCGTTAAGGTGATGATACACTGTAACGCAAGTGACCAGAAGAAAAGTAGCTTTTCTTAACGCTTTTCGTGTGCGCTACGACGAGAGCCGGTAACTGAAATGTTTCGCAATGAAATGTAAAAATTGACCATGTTGTATTATCCGATGACTATCTTGAACTTGTTGTATACGTGTGGCTTATGGGAGATTAACCATTTAACGCTCGCGCCGAAACGTCCGATACGTTCGCCGCACGCCAGTTTTCTTACTCTACCCGTTCACATTTAGATACGAATCGAAGCTATATTTTCTATTAAAACGTATACATACGCACATTGCCTTTCTGACTCTATCCCCCGTATGTTCGACGAATGAAATATCCACAATCTTCCTTTCGATAGTTTTCACTTTTATTTTCTTCTTTTTATCCTTATTTATCCATTTTTTTTACTTAAATCGAACTAAATTTTTTAATAACTTTTGCAAACAGAATGTTTTCTGTCCCTTTATGCGTTTGTAAAAATAAATTTGAAAAAAATGTGAGCGTTAAGAGGTTAAGCAGCTGACTTACATACTTAAGTAAATACGTACTGACAGAACGTGAAAATGAATTATACGTTGTTGGAATATTTCGAGAAAACGATAAACTACAGTACAAGAACATATATGTAAGTAACCTTTGTCAGAGAGAGAGTTATTTGGTAACGCGCGCGACATTGACAGTGGTGAACAAAGTGAGAGCGAATTCGTAGGAAGGCGGAGGACGGTATGGAAGGTATGTCGAGTGCTGCCTTTCAACGATGAAAGGACGAATCAGAATTATTCGCGAGGAGAAACTTAACCATCTGTGATATTGTCTGGTAACAATGACGCTGCATGACTTCTTCTATTAGCCTTCTACGTTACCGAGTGCCACTTAAAACGCGCAGTCTGTTTTCGAGCTATGTATATGTACATACTTATGTACTCTGTTGTACTCGAAACCGAAGCTCGCCCCTTTTGTCAAGATACGCAACACGTACGAGTAAACTACCGCACTTTATTTTCACTTTAGTATTTTATTCGTAATTTTTTTCGTTCATCGCCAGTGCATCTCCAGTGCATCGCCAGTGCATCGCCAGTGTATCGCCAGTGCATCGCGAATATATGTAATAGTTTTACGCACATTCGTCGGAGAACTGTGAAAATTGAAAGTAAAAGACTGTATTTAAAATTTCACGTTCTTTTTTTGAAACTTTCGTATACTATTTTCCACATTTCCACGTTGTTCTGTTCCCTCCTTGAAATAATAGAAAGGTGTATAGTTTTGAATAATACAGAGTACTTAGGGGGGAAAGAATCTTGGATTCTACACGGTAGATGAAGGTAGGATAGGAGTGAATCGACTGGAGGTACGTAAATAAATTGAAGGAATTTTAAAAGAAGTCAACGACGCGCTTAAATGACTTGAATGATATTGCAGATATTGTTTACTTTACGGTAAAAATAAAGGTTCGTTTCTGCCGAAAATTGAGAATATCTCGGTCCATCGTGATCGTCAGAGTTGGTTGGTCGTTTCCTACGTGACCGAGTGGCGGTACGACTGTATCTGCTCGCTCGATAGGGAAACCTGCTCCACAGTTTCCACCGTTTCCCGATTAGCAAGGAAAGACGACGAAAGTATCGCGTCGAAGGACCTGATATGCATCGAAGGAATAGAGATATTTCGCAGTTTGTTGTCTAAAGAAGAAACGGTTATCGACGATCAGAGTAATAACGTATCGTACGAGGGAGAAAAGTTGCATTATTTAGCAATTAGTAAGCATGTCGATGAAAGGACGGTGCGAGTTGGAGCATTGGCAAATTTAAGGAATAACAGCGTATATGTAGAAAAGGAAGACGTAGAATGGTAATTAAAATGGATATTGTTGGTAGAAAGGTTGGAGCGACGTATAGAGAATAAGGAGGAAGGATCGTTATCGAAGCGATCGTTTGAAGAGAGAGTGGTGCATTATCGGGGACGGTGGATAATTAATTAGAGTGGCAGCGGGTATGTAAACAGTGGGACCAGGCGAAGCGGTAGATTTGGTTCGGCCGACCGGAAGATTTTGGTGTATTCGGTTTGGTCTTTGGGGCAAATATAATCGACGCCGATGCGTTTCCCTTGAGAATCGACGTGGACATGGACGTCGACGCCGTTCGCGTTCGCGTCGAGGTAGTCGTGAGTGGCGGCGAAATGGACGAAATGGCCAGAAACTGTCCCACCTCTCTCGAAACAATCGCACCAATGATCGCTCGATCGCTTCTCTATTTACGTATCGTTGCTAATTTTCCAGCCTGTGCATTCGTATGCATATGTATTATAGAATACACGATCAACACCGATCAACAGCGACAATCCACGGAGAATTTTCCGTAAACTACCATTCCTAGGTAGATATTTACGTAGTGTGCTAGCTTTATGCTGAAAATGGATAAATACGAAAAGTAGTTGTTTCTCCAAATTTCTCAAATTTAATCTACAATCACTCGGAGATGTTACACACGTACGTTTTATGTATGTGCTCGATCGAACGATTGGACAGTGGAAATTTGAACGCTGCAACAGCATCGCGTTTTAGACCGATAGGAATATCGTATGAAACGAAGCTGGACAGTGTGCGGTGTATCGCGTATAAGGCTGTAGCTAGACCGCAGGTAGATTCGCTTTCACTTTGCGGTTTTCTCGTGCAGCGAAACAGGCGCGTTACTCTAACCGCGTTATTTCATCGAAAGATATACACAAGTACGTAAGTAGTTGAGAAACGGAAGGATATATTCGGGGTGAGTGGACGCCTCCCGTCCTAACGGAAGTCACGCGATACGTCTTCTCCTTTTCGATCCTATTTCGATCCTTAGGTGACTAACGCCGGTGTTCGTAAAATAATAATAACTAGAGCCAACTAGAAAAGCGTACTTATACAACGTAGATAGGACAACGTAGAGGAATAGGATTCACGATGCACTTGTCCACTTGTCACGTGTTTGTCTCGACCACGCGAACGTAATTGCAAGCGAACGTTGCGAAGGAGAAGTTAAACGAGAAAATGATCGGCGAGCGGTGCATCGGAATCGCGTTAATGGAATCAGTTGGAAGGTAATCCATTTTCCCGAGACAAGAAGCAGGTCGCAGGGTGGTGTTGGTAATTGCGTTAAAGTAATTACGTTATACACTTTTACGGATAGCACTTTTCCAAATAGTGCTAAAAACTGTAGGGAGATCGATATTCGATTGATCGTTGGAGGATCGCGGTCGGTGAGTAGGTAGAAGGAAGGAAGGAAGGAAGGAAGGAAGGAAGAGTGGCGAGTATAGAGAGAGAGAGAGAGAGAGGGAGGGGGTGGAGCAGGAAGTGGAAGGGTGGTAGTTATCTCGCGAGTTCGCGTGGGAGGTCACGTTGGATAGAGGGTAGGTGAGGCGACCCACGACCTTCGACCAATCACGATTCTAGGTTGAAACTGGGCTGCCAATGGGAGCGCTGTCGGGGTGACCTCGTGCGCGATTCTCCTTGCACTTTATCACCGAGAAACCACCCCCACGACGGTGAAAGGTGAAAGCTCACCTTTCCACCGCGAAAGCTTCGCGAGCTGTGCAATTGAATTTCCTTTTCTTGCCGCTGTTTCTTTCACCTTTCCACGTTAGCAGGTTGGGAAGGTAATCGAGAGACAAGGTAAGAGGAAAGGACGTGGAGATGCACCGGACGATTAAGAATCGATAAAGGTGAGCGTAACACGTCTCCCGTAAGCTCTCTCTGAAAAGATTCTCTCTCTCCGGACCTCCGTACGATCCGACGTTTCATTAGTTCCCTAATGCGTCCGGCCGGTATCCTGCGTTGTTGCGCTCTGCGCTCGAGAAGGATCAACAGTTTTTTGCTTCGGAACGGCAAGGCTGCGCGAGGGATACGGCTGTTATGTGCCGGAGTGACTGATGAACCGCCGGCTAATTACCTCCTCTACGTGCCTCGTAATACGAACGTATTAATAACCTGCATTTATACTATATCCGTGAAAAATGACCGCTTATCTCGCTTCACGGGCGCACAAAACAGTTGCTCGCCGTTACATCTAGAAACGTCTCTGCTCGTATCACAAGATCGATCGATCGATCGAATTTAATATACGAAGGTATTTCAGATTTGATATACCTAAAACCTGCATTGCGTCGCATGCCGCTCGCTTTCTGGAAACAACGCTTTCCGGAAACAAGTAGATCTGGAAAAGACGCTTCGAAAGATCAAAGCGTCTCGCGAGCGCGTTCTACTTTAGCTTTGACTAAATAAAAAGCGAGCCTCGCGTTTTTTTACAGACGACTGCGCTTAGAAAGTGAGGAGAGATAGAAAGTTGAACGACCACCACCTTGGTCTTAACCGTAATCCCGAAGAGTGACGAGCGTCAAAGCTATCGTGGGGATTCTTCTACCCCCCTCTCGAACGTATCTCTGGTAAAATAGATGTAAAATAGATGGATGTTGAACGATTCACGCGTCGAACTGGACGAATCGATTCGAGCAAAGAGGCGAAACGTAACGGTAATTGGTAATTCGGTGGGGGACTTTTCTCCAAGCACTTTGGAAATATTAAAACGGCGGGGGCAGCTACCTTTTACTCTTGCGTCCTCGAACGATTTCACCAGACTCGAACGAGGGATTGAACCTGCGACTCGGCAATATATCCCGGATATGCGTGTACAGAACGGCGCTACCGACCGACCGGAAGTAATTAGATCCGCATTCAAAACTGCCCCCACCCGGAAGCAACGTGCACCGTCGCGTAAATTCGAATTGACAACAGCCTAAGCGAAGAACCTGAGCATGTGCAGCGTTCGAATAAGGTGTGGAAAAATAAGTTTCTCGTTGCTTTCTCGTTTCTCGAATGCGAGATACCGCTGGAAGTAAAGTCTCTTCCTCGGAAACTTTTTACCGCGGGAGAAATATGAATTGTTAATAGGAGGTAAAAGCAATTTTATGTCGGCCTACGTAACGGCGCGGCGCATCGATATACCTATCCTTAGAGGCGGTGTTCCCTGTTGTTCGTCTATGTAAATCGGCCCGATATCCCAACCGCCGTTCGCATACATTACTTTTTATTTCGTTTCGCTTTTTCTTTCCATCGTCATTTTCATAAAAGACCGTCCTGTCCCGTCCCGTCCCGAAACTCGATTGGCATCGCGCGCGGTCTCGTCTCTCATGGGGTGACGAACGCTAAGTTATTTCTCTCGTCTCGATTCGTATCAAAAGTACCTAAACCTTTGCACCGTTTGAACGGCCTTGGTGACAAGACGTGCGATAAAAGGAAGATATCGGGCGAAGAATTTAATAG